GCTCACTGCGATCTCTACCTCTTAGATTCAAGCGATTCTCTTGCCTCAGCCTCCAGAGTAGCTGGAATTACAGGTGCGCGCCATCGCGCCTGGCTAATTTTTGAATTTGTAGTAGAGATGGGGTTTCACCACATTGGCCAGGCTTGTCTCAAACTCCTGACGTTAAGCGATCTACCCTCCTCAGCTTCCCAAAGTGCTGGGATTACAGGTGTGAGCCACTGCGCCCAGCCATGTTGCCTGTCTTCTTTAAGCAGGGCTAGGGGAAAGAAAAACAAAAATATTGTTTATCTTCAAGAAAGTGCTTGTTTAGCTGCTAGAGAAAATGAAAAACTGTGGCAGTTGGAACACAGTTCTTTTCTTTAAGTGTAAGGGTGGGTGACTTAAGTCTGGCCTGGCATGGCCTTTGATCCTGTTTATAATTTGTTATTGTATTGTTACAAAGAGTCTGTTCTGTCAGTCTTGCGATCTCTGTTTTAACATTAAGTCTGCTCCGTTGTGTCTAAACTCCATAAAGGAGAGGATATAATGAGGCATGTCTGACTTTCCAACCCATCATGACTGGAAACTAAGTCTTTAAGGTTTTTCTGGGGCCCCCTTGGCCCAGAGGGGTTCATGCAGCAGTGGGGGGGGGGGTGGGATTTTATTTTTAGTTAACATTCACTAAAACAAAGGGCCAAACAGAGTCTTAATCTGTTGCCTAGGTTGGACTGCAGTTGGTGCAATCTTGGATCAATGCAGCCTCTGCCTCCACGGTTCCAGTGATTCTCCTGCCTCAGCTGCCCAGGTAGCTGGGATTACAGGCATCCACCACCATACCTAGCTGATTTTTGTATTTTTACTAGAGACAGGATTTCACCATGTTGACCAGGCTGGTCTCAAACTCCTGACCTCAGGTAATTCACCCTCTCGGGCCTCCCAAAGTGCTGGGATTACAGGCATGAGCCACCATGCCAGGGCTATATCTCTGTGTTTTCTAAACCAAATAAATGTTATGTAATAATAATGCTAAAAACACACATAATGGCCCAGAAACATTTCTATAAGCCTGGCGGCTCTGTGCATAAATTTCTAGGGGTGGTGAACTGAAGAAACAAAATTGTGTTACTGAAATCAATTTTTTCCAACCACCAGCATCAGCATCTTCTCTCTCTCTCTCTCTCTCTCTCTCTCTCTCTCTCTCTCTCAATAAGTGTTCACTTATTATGTGGCTACTCTGTGCCAAGCACTGTTTCTAAATACATAATGTACGATTTCTCATTTCGTTGGTACTGATTTTGACACTACTCATCCACTGTCTTTTATTGTGATGTGACCATTTCCTACAAAACGCCTTAGGTAGCTTCTAGTCAAAATACCACAAATCACCGCTTAAGCAGTCCTGCCTCTTGACCTGTCTTCAGGCTTTGCTCTCACTCATCTGTCTCTATGGGCAGAAGACCCATCTTCCTAAATGCTTATTCTCTTGGAGCATGTAATTTCTTTCCTAGGAATCATCTTTTTTTTTTTTTTTTTTTTTTTTTGAGATGGAGTCTCGCTCTGTCGCCAGCCATCTGGGGTACAGGTGGGAGGAAGAGTAGGATAAGAGGCTCCAGATCCGGACAGAATTAAAAGAAAAAATAAATAAAATAAGCCTCCGTCTCCTTTTATCTCTTAGCAATAGGCAACAATTTAAGAAATAAAGGAGCCCCGTTACCGTTTGCCCTGTCCATTCTTTCCCGGGCACGGTGACCTAGACAGCAGCAAAAAGCGAGTTAATGGGGAGGGGTTAGGTAGGAATCAAAAGTCAAGGAATGTGGTTATAGTTGATTACAGGAACTGAGAAAGTGGACCGAACAATATTGACTCCCAGCCCGCCACCTCGATGCCCATCTTGGGGAATCCGTTGCTAGAAGGGACCTATCTCTCCCACCCTTAGGGGTCGGGGTGGGCGAAGGGGGAGGAGACGGCTGGGGGGCGGGGCTGGGTGGGGTTGCTCCGCCCCCGGAGGCTGGGCGGTGACCAGCAGGCGGCTCCGCAGCGCAGCGGGCGCGCTCACAGAGGGCGCAGCCGAGGGTCGGTGGATCGCGGTGCGGAGACTGAGGTTGGGAGGCAGGTGGCGAGATGAGCCGGGTACCAGCGTTCCTGAGCGCGGCCGAGGTGGAGGAACACCTCCGCAGCTCCAGCCTCCTCATCCCGCCTCTAGAGACGGCCCTGGCCAACTTCTCCAGCGGCCCCGAAGGAGGGGTCATGCAGCCCGTGCGCACCGTGGTGCCGGTGACCAAGCACAAGGGGTGAGTAAGGGGGATCGGGGCCCGGGGCAGGAGCAACTGGAAAGCGGGAAGAGGAGGAGCAGAAAAAGGAGCGGTGGGAGGAGGGAAGAGACGGCTTGCCGAATCGTTGCTAACAACTGCCACTTTTAATAGGCGCTACCTGGTGTGCCAAGTGGGCGCTTTACAGGCGTTACCTTGTTTATTTCGGCACACTCTCCACGTAGGGAGGTATTGATGCCACCATTTTATTGATGGAAAACTGAGGCTCGGAGAGGTTAAGTAACTTCTCTAAGCTTACACAGCTACTAAGTGGCGGAGCTGGGGGGAATGGTCTTCTGATCCAGAGCTGGACTTCGGAACACACTATGCATGGTGTCTAAGGGAAGGGCAGAGGGATGCGGGGGCTGGGAGAGGGCCAGTGGGGCGGTGACGAAGGAAAGAGAAAGGAAGGTATATGGGGACTTTAAGAGAGACCCCAGCATTTATGAGAAGGGGCTGAAGCTGCTCCCTCTCTCTTTGTAGGTACCTGGGGGTCATGCCCGCCTACAGTGCTGCAGAGGATGCCCTGACCACCAAATTGGTCACCTTCTACGAGGACCGCGACATCACCTCCATCATCCCCTCCCACCAGGCTACTGTGCTACTCTTTGAGCCCAGCAATGGCACCCTGCTGGCGGTGAGCAACTTCCTATCCCCGGGTGGAGTGGGGCCCTTGGGCTCAGCATTAAGCTCAGAAGTGAGTTCTCCATGAGCAGGGGAGTCTTGATTGTGACTACCCTGCCCCTCTGCAAGTGACTGGATACCAGCGACACCGAAGGTTATCTGTGTCCATGTATCTATTTCTAGGACTGCCTGAGGATGCATAACACAGCACCAGCGCCCACTGCTGCCTCAAGCATGTGACAGTGTGGAAATAATAATCTTGTCATTCTTGTGTATCTCCTTGTCCTATACTCAGTTACCCCAAATACACAGCTTGAACTAACCCGTTAGCCAAGGGAACATTTACTTAATCCTTGTCGACATGGAAAAGACGGGGTGTTCTATAATCCCTAGGCACCTTTTTGGAGGGGTATACAGTGTGACCTGTTTTAATATCTAATCACAGTATCAAAAGGTAGCAGTAGCTGGTGTTAATGGCATACTTTTTAATGTGTCAGGCACTGTTCTAAACATTTCACATTTATTAATGCTCTTAATACTTAAAACCATTCTATGAGATGGGTAATATTTTTACTCCCACTTTACAGATGAGGAAACCAAGTCAGAGCAACTATGTTCAACTTACCCAGGTTTATGTAACTAACAATTAGCATGGCAGGACTTCAGAGCTGTTCAGACTAAGTCCCCGGTCCATAGGTCCAGACTCTCCTAAGACTACTGCCATTTTAACTGCCACATACTGGGCACTTAAGTGCCAAGAAGGAGGCACTAATCACATTCAATTCTGATACATTCCTCTGTGGGAGTTTTTATTACCTCCCCTTCCCCCCCATTTCTATTTAGGTCCTTGAGGCTCAGGTTGGTAGAGTCACTTTGCTTGAGGTCACACATCCAGTTGGCGAAAGACTCAAGAATCACTCTTAGGTCTCTCTGACGGTTAACTCTTGTAGTCTGCACACTCCAAGCTGGGTGTTACAATGTCCTTACTTTTCCTCTGAATTTCTGGATCTTCAAATAATCTGGCTGTTCAACAATCCTTTGAGAATATCTATCTCTCCCTAACTTACACTCATCCAATGGAGATGGCATTCACACTATCTGCCAGCAGTGGTCCCCAGTGGGGTAGGACCTGAGGCTTTGAAACTAGGTGACAGCTGAATTTGTTCAGTAACGTGATGATTCTGTTCCTCATCTGTAAAATGAGGTTGATGATGCCTATTTTTTTTTATGGTAAGCTGAGATGAATAACTTATAAACAGAGAAGAATGCAGGGGGTGGTTGTTACTAGCGAGGCATAATCTTCAACTTTGCTATGTATCAGAATCACCTGGGCTGTCTGCATCTCACTCCTAGAAAAGATAGACTGGATTAATCTAAGGGTGGTATCTGAACATCTATATCTTCATGAAGCTTTCCACATGTGCAGCAGGAACGGAGAGTCACTAAGGTAGAGTTTCATGGCCCTTGTCAAATGACAACCTTCTCTCTCAAGTTCCTTCTTAATCTGGTGTTTTGAGAATCCCAGGGCAAGAAAAGAAAATGGGCAGTTCTTGAGCACTCACCATGTGCTAGATGTTTCCAGATATGCCAGTGCATTTAATCCTCATAATAACCCTCTGAATGGCTGGCATTGTCTTTGTTTTTACAGGTGAGGAAGGCAGTGCTTAGAGATTACAGTGTTTATTCAAAGTTGCATATCTCTTAAGTGGAGGAATTGGATCCAGGTCTGACACCAAACCCAGGCTGTTGTAGGATGCTGTAAAACTTCCTAGACTGATATTTCAGAACTGTTTCTTCTAGTTTAAGTAGTGGACAGGGGTTTCCCTTGCTCACCATCTCTCCTTTCCTCCAAGGTCATGGATGGAAGTGTCATAACTGCAAAGAGAACAGCAGCAGTATCTGCCATTGCCACCAAGGTAAGATGAATGGCTGGCTGTACCACTAAGGTGAACTGTTGGGTGGGGTCTGGTGCTTCAATCTTGAGAGACTAAAGGAGAAGTGAGGAACTTAATTTTGGTCTCTGTTGGACATAGCTGGAATTCCAGATGCCAGATATGAGATATCAGGTGAGCACGGTAATTCACAAAATTATTAGCTACCATTTAATGTGCATGGCCAGATTCCAGGTATCTTACATGCATAATCCTCAATCTTCCCATCAGCCTTGAAGAATAGAAATTATTCTCTTCACTTGCCAGGTCTAGGAATGTATCTCAGAGAGGTTGTATGAGTGGCCCAGGATTGCACAGCTAATAAGTGCTAGAGTAACAATTTAATACCTGACCTCCCCAGCTTCCAGGACTGGCTTCTTGTCCCTGTACCACATTGCCCCTGGTAAGACAGTATGATTGCCCCATAGACCAAAGCTAGTACTACACAAGAGGGAGAGGGAGCTGAACAGATCCAAGCCAGATCCATGGATTCATTCAACAAGTATTGACTGAGCTCCTATCATGTCAGGCACTGTCCTAAATGTTAGGCAAATGGCAATGAAAAAAACAGGGGGGCATGCACAGGGGAGGCAGATAACAAAAAGTGAAACACTGGCCAGGTGTGGTGGCTCATGCCTGTAATTCCAACACTTTGGGAGGCTGAGGTGGGTGGATCACTTGAGGTCAGGAGTTGGGAGACCTGACTGGTCAACATGGTGAAACCCCATCTCTTGCAAAAACAGAAAAATTAGCTGGGAATGGTGGTGCACACCTGTAATCCTAGCTACTCGGGAGGCTGAGGTAGAAGAATCATTTGAACCTGGGAGGCGGAGGTTCCAGTGAGCTGAGATCAAGCTACTGTACTTCCCTGGACAACAGAATGCGACCCTGTCTCAAAACAAAACAAAACAAAAACAAAAAACCCAAAACCTTTGAGTTTAATAATGTGTTAAATTGTAATAACTAATGTCATTAAATAATTAGTACCTATTAATAAATGATTAATAGTGTGCCTAGAATTTGCTAAAAAATAAAACCAACCACCCAAAAGCCACATGACATGTTGGAAAGATGAAGATAAAGCAGAAGTGAGAGTATTGAAGAAGGTGTAACATTTTACATTATCCAAGAAAGACCTCCCTGAGAAGGTAACATTTGAGTCAAAACTGAAAGCAGTGAGTTAGTGAACCATGCAAAAATGTGGAGGGGCGCTCCGGGCAGAGGAAACAGTTAGCAGTGGGGCAATGATGTTTCCAAGCAATGTCAAGTCATCCTATAGGAAAAACAGTATTTTTAGAAGTTAGAATTAAAAGGAAGAGGCTTAGAAAACAGGGTGTCGGTAGGAATGATTGGAGTCTTTGGGAAGTACAAGGTCTTGGGACACTGGTTTTCCTAAGTAATTGCAAAAGGAAGGTGGTCACCCAGGGAAAGTTGCAGTAGCGAAGACCAGGTGTTCGGGTTATATGTTAAGGTTTTCTAGATACCTGCTGGGAAGGAAAGAATGGGAGGATTAATTTGGTAATTGTATGTGAAGGCAGTAGACCAACAGCACCCACCTCAGTGAACCGGTTTTTGGTTATATCCAGACCCGACTCAACAGAAGTAATCAAGGACTCCTCACTATGTTTGCTGGTAATTTGGGAACAAAATGAATCTCATATTACTGCCTGTCATTTGTAAAGAGCTTTAGTTGTTTTCAAAATCATTTCCAACCTTTTGTCTGGACTATAAGTTTCTGTGAGGAAGGCAGAAAAAGTATGAATGGCCTCATTTTACGCAGAAAAGAATAGAAAGTTGGGTTTCCTGAAGTCATACAACCAGGTGCCTATGGGTTCTTTTGAGGCTGTGTGGTCTTGTCCCAGTTAAGAAATTTCCCATACAAGCATGCTATGCAGCAGCATTAGCTAGGGAAGTTTTCAAAAACCCAAATTCCCAGACCTACTGAATCAAAATCACAGAAAGTAAGGATTAATTAGGTCTAGAAACCACACTTTTGTAGACCCAGCCTTCAATAACACTGCTTTGTTTCATTAATAAAAATCTATGCTCCGAGAAGAATCAAGAAGCCTTGACACTTCAAAGTTTAGACACTTCAAAGTTTAGGCTGAAACTTCACAGCTTTATTTCTAGGGGCTCAGATGAACTGCTTCAATAAGGAACAAAGGGTCTATTTTACTTGTTGCCTTGAGAGTAGAATATTTTCTTGTCCACCACTTCTCTTTTATTGAGGGCTTTTTGTGGGGAGAATAAGTATAGGGAGCTCTAAGTTCTGATGAACACAATACATCTTTTGTGCTTGGGTTTCACATAAACCTCATTGAAGGCTTTTGATATGTTTTCTCAAGGTGACAGTATATATCAGGGTTTAGCACTGGCATGCATTTATTCAACAAATATTTCAGTGTCCACCAAGTTCAAGGTTCTTTGCTCAGCATGGGACGAGCAAAACCAGATACAGTACCTGCCATCATGTAGTACAGGGTCCAGTGGGGGGAAGACAAAGTATAGTCCAAAGATCACACCAATAGGCCGGGTGCAGTGGTTCACACCTATAATCCCAGCACTTTGGGAGGTTGAGGCAGGCAGATCACCTGAGGTCAGGAGTTCAAGACCAGCCTGGCCAACATGGCAAAACCTCATCTCTACTAAAAATTTTTTTTTAAAGGCCAGGTGTGGTGGCTCATACCTGTAATCCCAGCACTTTGGGAGGCTAAGGCAGGCAGATCACCTGAAGTTGGGAGTTTGAGACCAGCTTGACCAACACGGAGAAACCCCATCTCTACTAAAAATACAAAATTAGCCAGGCGGGGTGGCACATGCCTGTAATCCCAGCTACTTGGGAGGCTGAGGCAGGAGAATCAATTGAACCCGGGAGGCAGAGGTTGCAGTGAGCTGAGATCATGCACTCCAGCCTGAGCAACAAGAGCAAAACTCCGTCTCAAACAAACAACAACAATAAAAAATTAGCTGGGCGTGGTGGTGGGTGCCTGTAATCCCAGCCACTCGGGAGGCTGAGGCAGAGAATTGGTTGAACCTGGGAGGCAGAGGTTGCAGTGAACCAAGATGATGCCACTGCACTCTAGCCTGAACAGCAGAGTGAGACTCAGTCTCAAAAAAAAAAAAAAAAAAAAAAAAAATTACACCAATAGATATGAAAGTAAAATGCTGACAAGTGCTGTGAGAGTGTAAAGCAGTAGGTCTTGACCTAGTCTGTGGGTTTGCCTCTGTAAGGGATATTTGAGCCAAGATTGAAGGATAATAAGAATTACTTGTGAGGGGCAGAGGAGACAAAGCAGCCTAGCATCCTATGGAGAGGAATTAATTAATGTGAAGGCCTTATGGTTGAAGGAAGTACAGGGGTTTGGGAAGCTACAAGGAAGCTAGTATGGCTGGAAGACAGGAAGTACAGGGGAACATGGCATGATGGCATGAGAGAGAGCTACAGCACTGAGATCACCAGACCATGCAAGGCCTTGGCAAATGCAAATGAAACAGACTTTCAGACTCTTTAAATGAAAAACCTAGCAACCTAGCAGATTCATATACATGTACTTAATCACCTGCATGCTTATGAGAAAAGACTGAAGTGCCACTAATCCTACTTAATAAATCCTATAAATACATCATTTTAAAAAATCGGCTGGGTGCGGTGACTCATGCCTGTAATCCCAGCACTTTGGGAGGCCGAGGCAGGCAGATCACTTGAGGTCAGGAATTTGAGACCAGCCTGGCCAACATGGCAAAACCCCATCTCTGCCAAAAACAAGAAAGAAAAAATTACCCAGGCATGGTGGTGGGTGCCTGTAATCCCAGCTACTTGGGAGGCCAAGGCATAAGAATCGCTTGAATCCAGGAGGCAGAGGTTTCAGTGAGCTGAGATCACACCACTGCATTCCAGCCTGGATAACAAAGCGAGACTCTGTCTCAAAAATAAAAATAAATAAAATTTTAAAAATATATGAATTATCACACTATTACCAGGGCAACAAATTATCAAGACAACAAATCAGAATTACAGATTTAGTTTAGGGAGTTGAAGGTTACTTTTATAGGATACTGTAACACTTTCTGAAGCTCAGGTATACTTTCAAGAAGAGATTCATATTAACTGAGAACAGAAGAAAATGGTAACAAGGAAAAAATCATCTACTTATCCTTATCAGACAGAAACAATAGTCTTATGGATGTTATCATTTTGAAACCTTTTCAAAAAAGAGACGTTGAACTATATTTTATGGCACAGAATGGTATCTCTCCTTTGGTAGCTTCAAGAGATATAATTAATTCCTAATATTTCAGAGATGCTGTTTTGCTAGTAATTAATAGTTAAGAAGACTTTTCACTTTTTAAATATTATACTCCAGAATTTCAGTGAGTAGTGCTGTATGAAAGAACAGACCTGGGTAACTAAAAGTGTACTAAATTAAATAGAGAAAAGGCACAATAGGGTTTTATTTAATACATATGGTGTTGAGAGCCAAGTGATGTCTTTCCTGTATGCTAGTGATTCTCCACTTAGCATGATTTTGCCACCTGCTCCAGAGACAGTTCGTAGTGTGCAGACATTTTTAGTTGCCACAACCTGAAGGGATGGAAAATGCTGCTAACATCTAATAGACAGAAACTAGAGATACTGTTGCACATCCTGTAATACACAGGATGGCACCCCTCCCCAACAAAGAATTGTCCGGCCCAAATGTTAGTAAGTACTGAGGTTGAGAAATTCAGTGCTGCTTCTTGTAGGCCGTAGTAGACATGTACCAGTTCTAGGCAGATAAGACTACCTCTGTCCTCACGGGGCTTAAAAAACAGTAGAAGAAAATCTGCAAACAAATAAGTGCTGTGGCCTGGTGCATTCTATCAAGGAGGTCGGACAGGCTTCATTGGAGAGGTGGCAATGGACATGAGTCGATCACAGAATCCTGCTCTCAAACACAGACACCCTCAGGAGATTCCATAGATGCTAATTCTACATTCATCTTTAGCGGAAGACAGGCTATGAAAGGATCAACAGAGTGGACTCAGAGAATATTGCTAGAACCCTGGGAAGGAAAGGCTCACAGATTCCAGGGAGCTCTTAGAAATAGCTCAGAGCTCTGAGAAGTGGGTATGGCTGAGCATGTACCTGAGATATGATGGCACAGAAGAAAGGACATGAGCTTTGGAGTATGGAAGATGTGACTTTAGAGCCCCACTGTGCCCTTTAATAACTGTGAGACCTGGTCAGGAGTGGTGGCTCACACCTGTAATTCCAGCACTTTGGGAGGCTGAGGTTGGCAGATCACCTGAGGTCAGGAGTTTGAGACCAGGCTGGCCAACATGGTGAAAGCCTGCCTCTACCAAAGCCACAAAAATTAGTTGGGCATGGTGGTGCACACCTGTAATCCTAGCTACTCAGAGGCCAAGGCAGTGAGAACTACTGGAACCTGGGAGGCAGATGTTGCAGTGAGCTGAGATCGTGCCACTGCGCTCCAGCCTAGGCGACAGAGGCTCTGTCTCAAAAAATAAATAAAATTTAAAAAAATGAAAAATAATTTTAAAAAGTTGTAAGACCCGAACCAAATTCACTTCTCTGGACCTCAGTCTCTTCATCTGTAAGAAGAAGATAATAGGAATCCCCAACTCATAGGGCCAATGTCTAGACTAAATGAGATCATGGGGTCAACACATTGGCATATATTAGCTTCTTAGTGAACCCTTCTTCCTTCTCTTCCCACTCAACACCGGGGAAACCAAGACCCAAAATGAAATTCTCTGGATTGCCTGCAATCTCTTGAGGGAGGCAGAAGAGAGGGCAGAAGTCATCTAATACTAAAACCATATTTTGTACCCACCTGCTAGTGTCTCCCTTGACCTTTGCCACTTCCTTTCCCTCAAATAGTTTCTGAAACCACCCAGCAGTGAAGTGCTGTGCATCCTTGGGGCTGGGGTCCAAGCCTACAGCCATTATGAGATCTTCATAGAGCAGTTCTCCTTTAAGGAGGTAAGTCCAGAGGTGGGGTTGGGAGAGGAGGGGAGGGAGTGGTCCTTGACCTGTCTGTACTCCTTCACGGCACCACAGGTTATTCTGAAGTAATTAAGCTGTGAGTCCCATCTAGACCATTCTTGTACCTTCATGACTTCCCATGAGCCCTGATGGAGGGGATGGAGGAGAAGAGTCGGAAGAAGATCTGATTATCTGTTTCCAATCCTCAGTTCACAGGGCATTTGCCTGAGGATACAGCAAGCTTACTCAGTTAAAGGATTCTATTACAACTCTTGTATACATTCAGTTGTCCTTTTAGGCCCTGTCTATTATGTTATTCTTAGGAGAATGCAGAGTTTTTAAGTATTCAAGGTTATGGATCAAGAAACTGGATCGGATGAGACCCGGAGACCAGGAGGCCACAGCCTCTCTCTTTTGCAGTCTCCATACCGGTCCACCTTCCCCCAGGTGTGGCTCATGCTTCCTCCTGGGAATGTTCGATGCGACTTTTGTTTTATGTGTGTGTATAAAAGGGATGGAACATATTCATAGTATGATTTAATGACGAAAATAAAACCACTGCCTTGGGAAATATAACTATTAAGATAGTGCAAAAATAATGGCTATTTTGGCTATGACTTTTTTTTTTTTTTTTTTTTTTTTTGAGACGGACTCTCGCTCTGTTGCCCAGGCTGGAATGAGTGGCGCAATCTGGGCTCACTGCAACCTCTGCCTCCTGGGTTCAAGGGATTCTCTGGCCCCAGCTTCCCCAGTAGCTGGGACTATAGTTGCCTGCCACCACGCCTGGCTAATTTTTGTATTTTTGGTTTCACCATGTTGACCAGGCTGGTCTCGGACTCCTGACCTCAGGTGATCCACCTGGCTTGTTCTCCCAAAGTTCTGGGATTACAGGACATGAGCCACTGTGCCCGGCTGCCATTACTTTTAATATAAGGAAGAAAACAAAAGAAAAATGCTCTTTTATCTGTTTTCAAAGGCAGTTAATGTTTTCCGATCTTCCCTCTTCAGTTTTTTCAGCATAGTTTCAGTCACGTTAGACATGCACCATTTTATAGCCTGTCTTACTGAACATTCTAATACCACTTTTCAGGTGATCTAATTTTTGCATAAAATTTGCATAGTTTTCTACTGAGAAGGGTATAAAGGTTAACCATGTGCTTCTGGCTGGGCAAAATGTCTTGTTTTTCACCTTGCTTGGTGAACTTACTTAGACATAACGTTTGTTTATGTATTCTATTTCCTTATGAGAGATTCTATAGGTCTTACTTTTAGTTGACACGTGACAAACCCTTGACCCAGACATTGAAACCTGTCAAGCAAGTTGGCAAGATCCCAGTTCCCAGCCTTTGCTGACACCAGCACCTTCCAGGACTCCAGCTGTAGCTGCCGCTCTTGTCCTTTTTATCGGCTGTGCCATTTACCTTCTAACTCTTCTGATCTTGAATTTCCTACGTATTCTTCACTGATCAAGTTATTCCATGCAAAATATTGCCATAAATAACCCTTTGTATGAATCTCCTACCCATTACAACTCCTTTGCAGGGTCTCGGACATAAAGTGTGGGCTCCACACAGACTTTGCCAGGTTATCATTTCCATTTTCCAGACATGGAAACTAAGACTGAATGACATGAAGTAATTTCAGTATGGAGCAGAGTAGAGACTGGTTCCAAGCCTTCTACCTGGCTCCAGAACTTGCTCTGCTAATGATTATGCAATTTTTTTTTTTTTTTTTTGAGACGGAGTCTTGCTCTGTCACCAGGCTGGAGTGCAGTGGCATGATCTCAGCTCACTGCAACCTCTGCCTCCCAGGTTCAAGCGATCCTACTGCCTCAGCCTCCTGAGTAGCTGGGACTATAGGCGCGCACCACCAAGCCCAGCTAATTTTTGTATTTTTAATAGAGATGGGGTTTCATCCTGTTGACCAGGCTGGTCTCGAACTCCTGGCCTCAAGTAATCCACCTGCCTTGGCCTCTCCAAGTGCTGGGATTATAGGCGTGAGCCACTGCACCCAGCCTGATTATGCTATTAATATATAATAGCTATTAAGTTGTTGAGGCTATGCATCCTGACCTAGAAGTGAAATACTTTCACCCTCTTTTAAAGGGGAAAGTGTAAAAGAAAGTTCATTTTCAAATGCCTGGCTAGGTATTTGTCCAAATTAATGCTGTACCCTTGATCAAATGTCCATTCTCCATAGGGAATGGTTTTGGAGTGATTTAGATAACCACCAGCCCCTATCCCAGAGTGGTTCAACTTTCCCTTGGCATCCCTGGGCTCAGTATAACATAAGCAGCCAAAAAATGGCACCAATGTTCCTCTTGTTACCCCCAATGAAGGTGAGAATATGGAACCGCACCAAAGAAAATGCAGAGAAGTTTGCAGACACCGTGCAAGGAGAGGTACGGGTCTGTTCCTCAGTCCAGGAAGCTGTGACAGGTGCAGATGTGATCATCACAGTCACCTTGGCAACAGAGCCCATTTTGTTTGGTGAATGGGTGAAGCCAGGAGCTCACATCAATGGTAAGTAGAGTGGCTCCATAGGCATGATGGGTGGTAGCCAGGCTCCTCTCTAGACTGGACCAGTCGGCTACATCTGCAGAGCCAGTTTACTCATGCAGACGCCCAAGCTTTTTAAAGGTCTTAGAAACGTGTGAGACTGAAAAAACAATATTTGGCCAAGTGCAGTGGCTCATGCCTGTAATCCTAACACTTTGGAAGACTGATACAGGTGGATTGCTTGAGGTCAGTAGTTTGAGACCAGCTTGGTCAACATGGCAAAACCCCATCTCTACTAAAAATACAAAAGTTAGCCAGGCATAGTGGCTTGCACCTGTAGTCCCAGCTACTCATGAGGCTGAGGCATGAGAATGGCTTGAAACCAGGCGGCAGAGGTTGCAGTGAGTCAAGATTGAGCCAATGCACTTTAATCTGGGCAACAGAGTGAGACTGTCTCAAAGAAAAAAAGACAACAACAACAACATTTGCTCCCAAAAATGTAAAAGGGAAATTGCAAACCTGAAACTAACGAATATTTAATGTTCTATAAAATGTAATTTTTTTTTCTTTTTTTGAGACAGGGTCTCACTCTCTGTCACCCAGGCTGGAGTGCAGTGGCGAGATCTCAGCTCACTGTAACCTCTGCATTCTGGGTTCTAGCAATTCTCCCACCTCATCCTCCCAAGTTGCTGGGACTACAGGAATGTGCCATCATGTCCAGCTATTTCTTTTTTTTTTTTTTTTTGTTAGAGACGAGGTTTCACCACCATGTTGGCCAGGATGGTCTCAAACTCCTGGCCTCAAGCAATCTACCCACTTCAGCCTCCCAAAGTGCTGTGATTGATTACAGGTGTGAGCCACTGTGCCTGGCCATAACATGTAAAATTACGTAAAATGGTAATTCACAGCTCAATTCTTAGATGTGATGAAGTTAAAATCACAAAGGACAAATGAGTCATTCGTTCTTAATACTAAGAATTATAAAATTTTAAATTTCTTTTGTACTATAATTTATTATGTGACATGTATATTCTTTTAAATATGTGTGATAGGATGAGGGGCAGGAGAAGGGACTCTAGACATGAGGGTGCCTGGGGCCTCTGCCAACCTTCAAATGGCCCTGGGTGTTATAGCAAGAGCTGGTCTATATCTAATACTATCACAAGTGTTTATTCTATATATACATTATTCTCTATATAATATCATTTAATACTTATAACCAACTTATGAGACAGGAACTACTATCATAAACTCCATTTTACAGGGGGATAAACCAAGGCATGGAGAAATGACATAACTTTCCCAAAGTCAGAGGTTCTTTTTTCTTTTTTGAGATGGAGTCTTACTCTGTTACCCAGGCTGGAGTGCAGTGGCACAATCTCGGCTCACTGCAACCTCCACCTGCCGGGTCAAGTGATTCTGCCTCAGCCTCCTGAGTAGTTGAGATTACAGACACTTGCCACCATGCCCAGCTGATTTTTTTTGTATTTTTAGTAGCAGTGGGTTTCACCATGTTGGCCAGGTTGGTCTCAAACCACTGACCTCAAATGACCCACCTGCCTCGGCCTCCCAAAATGCTGGGATTACAGGGGTGAGCCACTGTGCTCAGCCCAAAATCAGGGGTTCTTGATGGCAGAGCTGGGATTTGAACTGAGGCACTCTATCCTCAGAGCCCAAGCTTTTAAATAATACTCAGTATTGCCTTCCAACAGGAAGACTGGATCCTGGTGAGCAGAGCGGGCACATTCTAGAGGGTTTAAAGCTGGTCTCAGTGCCCCATGTTTTAGTGACAAGCACATGGTGTGAGCTGAGAAGCTAAGAGCTTTGCACACATGGGCAGATGAGCAGGCAAACGCCAAGTAAAATAATCGTGCATTCAACCATACATGCTTACTGAATCTCTACCATGTGCCAGGCACTATTCTAGATGCTACGGATGCCACAAGTACCAGACAGTCAAGGTCACTGCTTTCCTGGTGGTTAATTTCAGTGAGGAGAGATAGATAACAAACACACACATAGAGGAACTACAGTAGATAGTTCTAGCTGAAGATGAGACTGGAAAGAACAAGGTTCTGAGTGACAGAGGCTGGTGGTGGAAGTGGAAGGGAGAAGCAGAGGGAGGTGTTTTCAGTAGGGTTATCTGAGAAGCTCTCTTAGGAGGTGGGTTTTTTGTTTGTTTGTTTGTTGAGATGCAGTCTAGCTAGCTCTGTCGCCCAGGCTGGAGTGCAATGGTGTGATCTCGGCTCACTGCAACCTCCTCCTCCTCCCGGGTTGAAGCCATTCTCCTGAGTAGCTGTGATTACAGGCGCCCACCACCATGCCCAGCTAATTTTTGTATTTAGTAGAGACAGGGTTTCACTGTGTTGGCCAGGATGGTCTCGACCTCCTGACCTTGTGATCCACCTGCTTTGGCCTCCCAAAGTTCTGGGATTACAAGCGTGAGCCACTGTGCCTGGCCGGGATGTGGTTTTTGAGCTGTGACCTGAATGAGGAGGAAGAGCCAGCCATGCCAAGAGCTGAAGGAAAGGCATCCCAGGTAGAGGGAACAGCAGATGCAAGGGCCTTGAGTGTGGAAGTGAACATGGCATGTTTGAGGAGTGGGTCAAAGTAATTTGAAAGTCTCAGCCTGCATGGGACTGGTGGTCAGATTGGGTCCAGGGAATGGGTAAGGGGTGAGTCAGGGCTGAGTCTGAGGACAATAAGACCATTTCTGGAAAGATATGGGAAATCGCAAGGAACCAGTTCCTGGTGAAATGGGTTTCCAAGGCTGCATCTTCAGGAAGATGGACTTGATTTTTCTTTTTCCAGCTTAAAACAACACATTATTATCATCTCACAGTTCCTGTGGTTCAGGAGACGAGGTATGGGTAGCTGGATCCTCTGCATAAAGTCTCACAAAAAAGAAATTGGGCGATATCCAAGCTGCAATCTCATCTCATGCCCGGAGGTCCTCTTCCAGTCTCCATGGTGTGGCAGGATTCCTTTCCTTACACTGGAGGATGGAGGGGGGAGCCCCTTTCCTTGGGGCCATCCTCAGCTCCCAGAGACGACCCAAATCCCCCATCATATGGCCTTTCCATCCTCACATCCAGACATGGAGAATCTCCCTTATGCTGAATCCTCTCTCCCTTGGAATCACTCTCCAGGAAGGGCTGACTTGATTTTGAGTCAAGGCATCTCTTCTGTTTTCCTGGCCCAGGGACAAAATTGGTTTATGTGTTCACAGAGGCATCACATACATTTAAGAAAAATGTGTCACAAGCGCAGACAACAGGGAAACACCAACAACAGATTTTACTTAGTTTATAGCTCGGCAGAGGGACAGGCCCAGTTCCAACCTCCCCCACGCTTCCCTCCTCCTGCCACCACACCCTGTCAGCCTGCCTTCGACCCTCACTCATTTAGCCCCATCATAGCCAAGCCAGAGTCTGATCCGAGTCAGGCCTCTCTCTTTACTGCCTGGCCCACCTCCATCCGCCTGAGTGACCTCACACAACCCTTTGTGGATGTGCCCTGCTCGTAAGCAGTGGTTGTGCAGGGGAAATAGAAATAGTCCAGAGAGAAGGGGAGGCCTGAGAAGTGGGGGTTTTGTTCCCACCAGCTTATGATTTATTTACGAGCTTCCTTAGCTAGTGCTTTTGTTCTGTAGAACTCTCCGCACAAACAACCTTCAAGATGGACATTTTTATACCACGCTTTTTGGAAATTAGCATGAGGGAGAACAGCATGGGAGGGAATAAGCGGAGAAGACTGGGCAGCAGTGCGAGAAGGCATATAAATGCTGTCTTATATTTGTATAAGGCTTTATAGCGCTTTTCAAAGACTAGCCGGCCAGGGGCTGGATCCAGCCAGCAGATGTGCTTTGTTTGGCCCATAGCGTGATCTAAAACTCAAGGAGTGACATATGCAAATAGATTTCCTGTTTCTCTTTTAAGAAAACAACTGGGGCATATCTGGTAACAGTGGATCTATATTCACACGTGGTAATGATTAGCTAGAGCTGAACAATGTCCCTTTCGAAAGGGCCCACTGACTTCTGCACCCCTCAGTCTCCACCACATCTAATTCAGTCCCTCTGACCAGCTTTGCTCATTTGCATTACCTCCCTGGCCCTGCAGGCTTTTGGTGGCAGCCTCTGTATTCTCCTGTGTCCCAGTGCCAGGGTGCGCAACACCTTGGATTCATCATTCTGGTCCTGGACTCCGCAGGGGATGTGCTAGCTCAGGGCCAGGATGGAGCCAGTTTTCTTTGTGCTGAGACTTCTCCTTGACACTGGGCTTTCTTTTTGTCATGAGTTAACAGAGAACGGGGGTGAGGGTGGGAAAAGCGGTATCATGGCACGTGCCTGTGGTCCCAGCAGTTTGGGAGACTGAGGCAGGAGGGTCACTTGAGCTCAGGAGTTTGAGGCTGGGGTTTTTTTTCTTTTTTTTTTTTTTTTGAGATAGAGTCTCGCTCTGTTGCCCAGTCTGGAGTGCAGTGGCACAATCCTGGCTCACTGCAACCTCCGCCTCCCAGGTTCAAGAGATTCTCTTGCCTCCCGGTAACTGGGATTACAGGTGTGTGCCACCCCGCCTGGCAAATTTTTGTATTTTAGTAGTGATGGGGTTTCACCATGTTGGCCAGGCTGGTATCAAACTCCTGACTTCAAGTGATCCTCCCGCCTCGGCCTCCCAGTGTTGGGATGACAGGCGTGAGCCACTGCACCCAGCCTGTGGTGAGTTCTGAATGCACCACTAAACTCCATCCTGGGCAACAGAGTGAGACCCTCTCTCCAAAAAGTAAAAAATAGATATTAAAAGAACTGGTTGGGGGTGAGGAACGGGAATGACGGAAGAGCAAAAGGAGAATGGGATGTGAATAAGCTCCAAGTGATGTCTCTGTGTCGGGATTTGTGTGAGGAAGTTGTTAATCCTGTTAAGCGGAGGAGGCATGAAAGCCCAGGTGCTCTCAGACCCAGATTCACCCATCAGATCCCTAACCTTGGCAAACACCTTCGCTTCTTTGAGCCTCCATTTGTGCATCTGTTAAGTGAGAACCAGACTTTGAAATGTACTTGTGAGAACCATAAATAGTATGTGTAAAACATCCCACAGATAGTAGACATCCTGTAAATGAATGCTGTGTCGTCTCAAAATCTTTTAGCAGTGAGGTGGGATATGGAATAGAAAGGCAGAAAATGGTAGGTAGTATTTTATTTTTATTTTTATTTTTCAGATGGAGCCTCACTCTGTTGGCCAGAGGCTGGAGTACAGCCATGTGATCTTGGCTCACTGCAACCTCCGCCTCCCGAGTTCAAGCGATTCTCGTACCTCAGCCTCCGGAGTAGCTGAGACTACAGGCGAGAGCCACCACGCCTGGATGATTTTTGGTATTTTTGGTAGAGACGGGGTGTTACCATGTTGGCCAGGCTAGTCTCAAACTCCTGGCTTCAAGTGACCTGCCTGCCTCAGCCTCCCAAAGTGCTGGTATTACAGGCATAAGCCACCACACCTGGCCTATTTCTTAATAAGTATTTCATCTTACTGATTGGAAGAGGCATGGCCTGGGGAATGAGGGAGTGCTTTGAATCTGAGTGTGCTCACGGGTCCTTCAATCACCTCTCTCTCATGCTTTGGCCTTCTTCGTAGCCTTTGGGACTATTTCTGGGCTTAGGGTCTGTTTTTCTGTCTCTTAGCTGTTGGAGCCAGCAGACCCGACTGGAGAGAACTGGATGATGAGCTCATGAAGGAAGCTGTGCTGTATGTGGATTCCCAGGAAGCGGCCCTGAAGGAGTCCGGAGATGTCCTGTTGTCAGGGGTGAGGCTCTTTCTGACCCCGGTCAGGGCTGCCACCTGGCTGGCCTCACCTGGGTCCCAGAGTTTCATTAACTTCCCTTCGAATTTGGCCTGCTTGAGACCTCAGCCACCCCTCCTCCTTGTAGGGGAAAGAGCTCCTAAACATTTTGCTTTAATTTCATTCCAGAAAAATATGGGCATTATGGTGGTGACATGTGTTTTCCTGTCTCCTTTGCCTGAACAGAGCTCAATGAATTTTGATTTTTTTCTCCTTTGCCTGGATGGAGAAGCTTAATGAATTTTTCTTTTTTCTTTTTCTTTTTTTTTTTTTTGCTGGGCTGTCCTATAAAGCAGTGGGATTGGAAGCTTCTTGCAGCCTGGAAACCTTCCCAATGTGGCCAACACGATAAGACTGTGTTGCCCACCTTCTGGCTTCATTTTAGTGTCATAATCAGAGCATAAAACCAAGAAGGGAGCTGCTGGCATGCATGTTCAGATAAGAGCATGTCTATTTCCTCACTGACACAATGATCTTGGCAGGACAGCTCTCTGAGCACCAACGTGAATCTCTGTGTTTATGGTATCACAAAGCAAATGCCACTCCAAAAGGGTTTCGGGGCCAGCCTCCTCCCTAGTATCATCCAGTGTACAAAGGATCTTTTTTTTTTTTTTTTTTTTAAATCAACTATGTCTCTTACCTAGCTCAAGGGTCTTCAAAACCAACCTGGGCTGGCTTCAAAAGCCAACCCTGAACAGACTTTAGCTTCATACCTGGGTCAGCTTATGTTTGTTTCCTAGGCTGAGATCTTTGCTGAGCTGGGAGAAGTGATTAAGGGAGTGAAACCAGCCCACTGTGAGAAGACCACGGTGTTCAAGTCTTTGGGTAAGATCCATTGGTCCCTGGGCCAAAATCCAACCAGAGCACAAGGCAGGCTCACCCATTGGTGGAAAGAGCAGTGAGTCACCAGACTCTGTAGCTGAATCACTGTGCTCCATCATTCAAGTCAATTATTTACATGGCTTAGTCTAGTGATGAAGCTCATGAACTCTGGAACTGGGCAGTCCTGGGTCAGAGTCCCTTCCCCGCCACTCAGAGGCATGTGTCCTTAGGCAAGTGATCTGACCTCTCTAGGCCACAGTTTCCTCACCATCTGTTACCAGTTAGTTGTGATGTGCATATAAAATGAATCAGCTAGGTGCAGATCTTGATGAAACTCAGAAGTGGAGGGGGCAGGGGACAAAGATGTTAAAAGACAGGAACCTTAAGGTAAATGGCAGAGACCCAACCTGAAAGACAGTCAGACAGAAAGCACCGAGCCCTGTTCATTCCTTCCTTCCCTACTCTCCCACTTGCTGCTTTCAAAAGGGCTTCCATGGGGAACCCCCTGCCAACTGAGTTGTATAGGGTACCTTATAGAAGCCTAACAAAGGGTGGGCTCCCAGTGGCCAGTCTGCCCCTTGCCCTTGTTTTTCTTCCCCTCTACGAAATTGAAGGAAACAGAAGTACATGGGAACAGACGAGGCGTGGTGGCTCATGCCTGTAATCCCAGCACTTTGGGAGGCCGAAGCAGGCAGATCACCTGAGGTCAGCAGTTTGAGACCAGCCTGGTCAGCATGGTAAAACTCTGCCTCTACTAAAAATACAAAAATTAGCTGAGTGTGCTGGTGCAGGTCTGCAATCCTAGCTACTTGGGAGGTTGAGGCAAGAGAATCGCTTGAACCTAGAAGGTGGAGGTTGTAGTGAGCCGACATCATGCCACTGCACTACAGTCTGGGCAACAGAGCAAGACTCTGTCTCAAAAAAAAAAAAAATAGGCACTTTGGAACAGAACTGATACACGTAAAACAAAACATTGAAATACTCTGAAATGTTGGTAAGCAATTGCTACCCTAAGCCTCTCAAGAGAGCCCTCTGTCCCCCTCTCAGGATATTCCATACTTCATGATCAAGCAGCAAAACAATACCTGGCAGAGCATCAAGAGTGCCCTGGCTACCCAGAGCCCATGCCATTAGTTAAGTATCCATGCCTTGAAGATTGGTAAATATCTTTAAAATCTCTCATGCACTGCAAGCAATATCTTCATTATGCCAGTGCATGATGTCTCTCATGCACTGGCAATAAAACTTTATCTGGAACCTCGTTCAAAGACATCACACGGATCCAGTTGTGTCCGAAAGCTTCAGAGGTCATGGCAGATCAGAGGTCAGGGAGCCCCCACTTGAGTTGAAATGCTGCAGAAACCTGTTGTGTCCTTTTCAGCAATTTTTGCTTTCTCACCTTTGGGGATTAGTTTATTGGCACATCATTTCACCTAACAGATGCATATCAAGCACCTAATTACATATCTGTGCTGGGTGCAGAGGTTAAGGTATCTACCAAAACTACAAGACAAAGGGGAGATGTCAAAGGATGCAGCATTGGAACCGGACCTCTGGTCAGCAAACTGCAGTCTGTGAGCCAGACCTGCCCTGCTTCCTACTTTTGTGTAGCCTCTGAGCTAGAAATGGTTTTTAGATTTTCAAATGATTGGGGGGAGGAAATAATATTTTATGATGCATGAAAATGATACAGAATTTAAGCTTCAGTTCCATAAATAATTTCACTGGAGCACAACCAGGCTCATTTGTTTACCTGTTGGCTGTGTTTTCTACTCTAAGGGCAGAGTTGAGTAATTGTAATAGAGACCCTTTGACCCACAAAGCCTGAAAGAGTTACTGTCTGACCCTTTTTGGGAAGTTTGCTTGGGCTGGGCACGGTGGCTCATGCCTATAAGCCCAGCTCTTTGGGAGGCCAAGGTGGGCAGATCACCTGAGGCCAGGAGTTCAAAATTAGCCTGGCCAACATGGTGAAAGCCTGCCTCTATTAAAAATACAAAAAAAAAAAATTAGCCAGGTATGGTGGCAGGCACCTGAAATTTCAGCTACTTGGGAGACTGAGGCAGGAGAATCATTGAACCTGGGAGGCGTTGCAGTGAGCCAAGATCGTGCCACTACACTCCAGCCTGGGCAACAGAACGAGACTCTTATCTCAAAAAAAAAAAAAAAAAAAAATTTGCTCAGCCCTGAGCAAAGGACACACAATTTGTTGGTGGGTGTTTCTTAGTATCATATTCTCTGTCCCTTTGCAGACCATCCAAGCCTGAGCTCACCTCTGGCTCTCAGTCCCTGTTATTCCAGTAGGCACTGGCAACATGAACACGTATCAGGAAACTGCCAGTCACAGGGCCTGATTGTTTCAAGAAAAGTTGTTCTGACCAAAGGTGAACCAAGTTTCTGTCTGTTCTAGGAATGGCAGTGGAAGACACAGTCGCAGCCAAACTAATCTATGATTCCTGGTCATCTGGTAAATAAAACAAAGGAGCTTGGTGCTCGAGGGACGTTGCTGCTGGTTCTCATAATTTCTAGAGTAAACGAGGGAGTCCAACCCCAGTGAACTCTTGTTTTGTGCTTATTGTGTTTTACCTTAGGTGCTGAGATCCTCGTTTAGGTTTGTAGTTGGAAAGCAAAACTAGGTAACCATTTCTTCTGTTAAACGAAGTTATAATAGTGTTCGTTTCCCTTTATGTTTCCCTGAAATAAAGCACTTTCCAATTCTACAGTGTTTGCTTCGGTAGCTTCTATTCCTATCACAAGGAAACAGAGGGATCAGATGCTTCCATTCATTCCCTGGGAGAGCTCCACTGGCTATAATGAAATTTATTTTTGATTTTTTTATAGATACAACTCACATACTCTAAGATACACTATTTTAAAGTATACAATTCAGTGATTTTTGTTTTGTTTTATTGACATGGAGTTTCACTCTTGTTGCCCCGGCTTGAGGGCAATGACGCCATCTTGGCTCACTGCAACCTACACTCCCAGGTTGAAGTGATTCTCCTGCCTCACCCTACTGAGTAGCTGAGATTACAGGCATGCACCACCACACCTGACTGATTTTTAGTGGAGACAGAGTTTCACCATGTTGGCCAGGCTAGTCTCGAACTCCTGACCTCAGGTGATCCATCTACCTCGGCCTCCGAAAGTGCTGGGATTACAGGCATGAGCCACCACGCCTGGCCTACAATTCAGTGTTTTTTAGTATACTTGGAATTGTGCAACCATCACTACTCTAGTTCCAGAATATTCTTAGTCCCCGAAAGAAACCTGGTGCCTGTGAGCAGTCACTACCCATATGCCCCTCTTCCCAGCCCTCTGGGAACCACAAATCTGTTTTCTGTCTCTATGGATTTGCCTCTTTTGGATTTTTTTTTTTTTTTTTTTTTTTTTTTTTTTTTTTTTTTTTTTTTTTTTTTTTGAGACAGGGTCTCTCTCTGTCTCCAGGCTGGAGTGCAGTGGCACCATCAAGCTTGCTGAAGCCTTGTCTTTCTGGGCTCAAGTGGCCCTTCTGTATAGCTGACATGACAGGCGCATACCGCCATGCTTGGCTAACTTCTTGATTTTTTTTATAGATGAGGTGTCACCACGTGGCCCAAGCTGGTCTCAAACTTGTGGGCTCAAGCAGTCCTCCTGCTTTGGCCTCCCAAAGTGCTGGGATTACAGGCATGAGCCACCCACCTAGCCTGGTCATTATAAGTGAAATTCTACAATATGCAGTCTTCTGCGTCTGACTTCTTAACATTTAAAGGAAAAATGGAGTTTCTGTATAGATCAGGGCTCCTTTGGCCACAAATGGTAGAGACTACAACTCAAACTACCTTAAGCTGAATGAATGGAGAATGGAATATATTGGCTCTTGTAATTAGGAACATACAGGTAACTGGTTTTGGCTACAGCTGTATTCAGGGGCTCCAACTCTCACCAGGGCCTGGCATTTTTCTCCTGTCCCTCTCAGTTCTGTCTTCCTTAGTGGGTCCCACCCTTTCCCTTATCGTTGCTCCAAGGCTGGTTTTCAGATAAGTCAGCAGCAAAGCATGCTTGGCTCTGTTTTCCCGCCCATACTCCTCCTCGAAAGGACTCTTCATGCTCCAGGTGGCTTAGCCAAAAGTTTATCATATTTGCCAGACTGTCTGTACAGGGGCCTTTGTGCTGAAATAAAATACCCACATGACCTGATTCTGCATATGTCAAATGACTATGGAGTCTTTCTGGGGAAGCCTAATGGTCATCACCCTAAAGGATGTATAGAGAAGAGCGTGGAATGATGAGAATATTCATATATTTTTTTTCTTTCATTCTTTTCACAAGAGCCCCTATCATAACCCTGTGCTAGGATACTTAGATACAACAGAAAAGTAGTCCTCAGCCCCAGAGAATGCACTCCCAAAGAGAAGACAGATATTTTAAAAAATTACAGTTCAGTAATTTGGTGTTACGGGAACATGGTTCAGGGTCCCTGCAGGAAATGCAGATATTCCTTGACTTATGATGCAGTCCTGTCTCAGTAAATTCACCAAAAGTTGGAAATATGTGTCCAGGCACGGTGGCTCATGCCTATAATCCCAGCTACATAGGAGGCTGAGGCAGGAGAATTGCTTGAACCCAGGAAGTGAATGTTCCAGTGAGCCAAGATCATGCCACTGCACTCCAGCCTGGGCAACAGAAGGAGGCTCTG